TGTGCCCGCACCGCGCTCAGCCAGTGAGCAGGAACTGGTCTCCACATGGGATCTGAACCCTGGGCGGGAATGCCGCCGCGCTCCCAAGCGGCGCACTCTCCAGTGCGCCACCGGGCCGGCCCATACAAGGAAACTTTAAAGAAAAAGAATAGATTAATATTTGCCCCATTTTATATATAGTGTATTTTGAAGTGGCCCATAGTTTTACTCTCTCCACTCTCTTGACTACTGTATACTTTATTCTACCACATAGCATTAAAGATACTGATTTGTAATGAAATTGTGTAAATGCTGCATCTCTCCTATTGGATCACAGTTATATTTGTATTCCTCAAAGCACTTAACATGGTGCTAAACAAACAATAATAGTAATAATAGATCGGCCACTTTTGAGTGCTTACTTATGCCAGACACTCTGTTGAGCACTTTATAGATATCTGTGTATCACAGATACTTCTTGAATGCATGTGCTGGCCCATGTGGAAGAAAACACGGTTGCTGCCACTAAGCCTTTTCCACTGCTTATGGGAACCACCCCAGGAGAGAATCTGAAGTGACTGCCAGTGCTGGGACTGTGTAGCTATGGGCAAGGTAGCAGGCAGGAAACAGCAGTTAGTGCTCAAACATATGCTGAGATATGTGGCCTCTTAGATGGTATCCTAGTTCTCAATTCACCAACTGCGCAACCTTGGAAAGTGAATCAAACTCTTTGTGCTTTAGGTTCTTCTTCTAAGAAATGATAATTCATACCTTAAAAGGTATCAACCCCTGAAGGGCTGATAAGATGAGATAATATGCCAAGTATCTAGGACCTCACTGTGTATACGGTAGGGGCTTAATAAATAGTATGTGGGCTGACTTGTTAGCTCACTTTGTTAGAGCACAGTGTTATAACACTGAGGTCAAGGGTTCAGATCCCCATACCGACCAGCCACCAAAAATAAATAAATAAGTAAATAAATAGTAGCTAATTTATTAATATCGGTACTGTGAAGTATAAAGACCAGAAGTAAACAAATTAGGGTGGTAGATCTTAATTCTCAACCCTGAAGACAGAAGTCTGAATCCACATGCTCAGTTAAGGTCCCTTTTAGCCCTTGTCTGTGATTCTGTATTTCCAAGTTGGCAGTTGGAAGCCAACAATCATATGTCCTCACCACAGTGCGTCAATTCAGGTCAAGGCGGTTGCTCAGTTTAGAATTACAAAGCCTAGGTAGTAGAGATTGACACCTTTAAAAAGAATCACAGGTAGGGAATGGCCAAACCGGGCAGTCTTGGTTTCTAAAATTACGACTTGCTTTCGCCATTTTCATTTGGAAGAAAACCTCTAATTCAGCCTGAAGCGGGTGTCATGAATCATTCAGAGGTGTGGTGTGATTTGACTATAAGCTGGACCGGAGGTTCTGTGCAGGTTTGGAAGCAGTTACACCCTTGTGGTTTGACTAACCTTTTTTATGAGTGTGTTACTAAAGAAACGTGATCTGTTGGCTTTTCAATTACTGTAGCTTACCCCTTCTGAGTTTCATACACATTGAGTCATCGTGTCTACAGGTGACTGATAATCATCTGCACCGCTCAAATTACCGTAACTCGGAGATGAGGGGATCTGATGGTTGCAAGTTGCGTGCACGTGAAGATCTGAGGCTCTCCCATCTTCTTAACAATGAACAATGGTCTGTGTTAACCACAGAACTCAGTCACTTATTTCCACTCATCCAGGGGTTTATTTTCCTCTTAATGTTTTGCCTCTTACAACTTTAGCACTCAGCTGTTTTCTGACATATGCTGCAGGTGGTATAGATTGTGAAATTGTAGGCCTTGGGAGAAAGGGTAAAAGCAGTTTGTCATGTGTCTACCCCACCCCAGGAACTTTCTGGAGCCTCTCTGTTAGATGAAAAGATAAAAAATTCCTTAAGGAACTCCTGGTATTTAGGGGGTTGAGTAGAGCTGAAATCATCAATAACCTTGAAAAGGCCAAGAAACCAAAGTTCATCATTTTTGTGTCACTTTCAGGGGAATGAATGTTTGTGAGCTTAGCTGGCTTTCATGTTCTCAGTGTCATTCTTCTATTTGGCCTTAATCAAAAGATATATCCAATCGGGAGGTTCAAAATAAGAACCGTTGATTACTCTGGCAAAGGTCTACTTCTCTGTTACTTCTTATTGAGTTGCCAAGATGGGCGTTTTTCTTTGCATGTTTTTTCTCTCAGATATTTGTCTAGAAACTATTTGGTTGGCCTTAAGGTAGTGGGATGCAGGGCAAATCCATCTGATTGGATAAGATCTTCTGGCTGGTCTTTCTAGCTCCAATTTTTCCCTGTTCTGGTCCATCTTACACATTGCTGTTACAGTGACCACAAGCCTCTTTTTCTTAAGGGCTGTGTGTTGGTCAGTCAGAATGCCCATCATTTGGTCTCATCATGTGTTATCTTTTTTCAGTGTTTTCCAAAATGTGGGATGCAAACTACCAGACAGGGCATTTAAAAACCCTGATCCACATGGCAAGAAAATTATTTTCTTTTCAGTTCTTTTTCAGTTTCCCTGATTATACCAAGGAGAAAGATTTAGATTTAATTTGATGCTAGTTGTCTTTAACACTAATTTCACACTTGGTAATCTCCATTTTTAACACAGAGAGAGGGGAATCTTAGTCTCCAAGTACTCACAGTAGTATCTGATCAAAATTTAATAAATGGCTCTGTGACATTGTCTTTGTTTTTCATAGTTAACTTCTATTTGTGGCAAATGATTCTGATTTTCCATTTATGTTAGCAATAAAAAGTTTCCTTAGAAAACAAATTTATTTTAGAAAACAAAATAAAAGAAAGAAAATGTGAGCTGATTCAAACAAATACAGAAAAACCGATAACGTTTACCGGTGCTTTCTATGCTCCAGGCACTGTTCTGAGCACTTTCCAGTGACCATGAGAGGTAGTTACAATTATTATCTTCATTTTACCTAAGGACATGGAGGCATACACAGTTATGTAAGTTGCCCAAGATTGCACAACTAGTAATTAATTGATGGAGCCAGCATCAAAGTCAGTCCATCTGACTCTAGAGCTCATTCTCTCAACCACCACACTATTCTTGGTGTGTAGATATTGCAGAATATGAGGGAACAGTGAAGTTTGAGAAATACTTTATTTCATACTTCTTGATAGAGCTTTAGCCAGACTCACTCTTCCCTGCACGTGTCCTGTATAGGACCACCTCTCTGCCTTCATTCATGCCCCCCTCAATTTAAGATGTCCTCTCCTGGGCCGGCCCGGTGGCGCACTGCTACAGTGCGCCACTTGGGAAGCACGGCAGCGCTCCCGCCGAGGGTTCGGATCCCACATACAGACTGGTTCCCGCTCACTGGCTGAGCGAGGCGTGGGAGCAACACCGAGGGTTGCGATCCCGTTGCCGGTCCCGGTCCGGTACGGGCGCGACACTGAGGGTTGCGATCCGTTGCCGGTCACGAAAAAGGACAAAAAGAAAAAAAAAAAAAGATGTCCTCTCCTGAAAATCTAAATCCTACCAGTTCATCAATACCCTTTGCAAAATATAGATTTTCCAAGAATGCTTTCCCTTCCTTGAGTATTTCTGAAGCTTTTGCATTCCCTTAATGACTAAATATATGATTTATACTCAACTATCTTGCCCTTGTTTGTATGTTGCCTTATAATTCTTTTACAGAAAACACGCTACTCTCCTGCCTAAATCCCTCAAACGTGACCTTTAAAATAAAATCCAAGGCCTCCATAGAGCAAAGCAGCCCTTTTACAACTTTTAACCTATAAGTTTTCTCTAATTCCATATATATATAGGTCTTATTTCTCACCCACGAGGTTGGAGACACCTTGAGTACAGGAAATGGTTCTTCCAATCCTTTTGGGGTTTTTTCGTTGTAGTTTTTATTTTCTTTTTTTCATTTCTGAACCCTTTACTGTATGGCAGTGACAAATTATGGAACCACAACATGCTAGGAAATGTTGTGGAAGATAAAGGTATGGTTCAGAAAATCTCTTCAGAATCCAAGGTCAACAGAATAAAAAAGCATCAGCCCGCACTTGACTCGTCTTCCACGCTTTCTCTTTCCTCTCCTGGCCACTCACCACTGAGCACATCTGCCATCACCGCAGACCTGGTCCCTGCCTTCCCTGTGGCCAGAGAGCCTCTGTTTTCTAACACAACACCCACATACTCTAAAGGTGGCTAAACTCTGTTCTCAAAATGTCTCAGCAGTTTGACATGAATGTAGGGGAGGGTAACCACAAATAAACTTTTTCAGTTAAGTGTGAGGTAAGTCCTAATGATCACATGTGTATCAAGGATACATTTTTCAAGCAAAAGAAAAGTAACACACTTTAGAGAAGGGACAAAGATCATGCTCTCTCATCGAGAAAGCTTTTCTAAAACTTTCTACATTTGAAACTCCTAAATCTCAGTCAGTCAGGTGACTGATGAGTTTGGGCAGTGGTGAATTGGAGTTTTTGGGGGGCTATTTTCTCTACCTATGTAGCTATTTAAAAAGCTGCTGAGGCCAATCACTGAGCATCCCTACTCCTTGCAGCTCTTTCATGCCCCTGGCTACCTAATATTACAAGCAGAAAATAAGAAGCAAAGTAAGAGTTTGGGAGTTGGTGTGTCTCAAGAGTTCAGGAATGGAAGAAGTGCAGAGGCCCATGCTTCTAGCCCAGCCTAGTGCTCTCCTGCTTCTTTTCCTCCTTCTTTCTTTAGGATTCCCCTCTGATATGGCCAATGGGCATACCTCATAACGTGGCCTCAACATCTAATGACATCGCTGCCCCTCCCATTTGCCTACTGGCTTTATTGTGACCATCCAAACATGTTGCTGCTGACCAGCATCCCCTGAGACATTCTGCCTGGGCTGTGTGTCCTTGAGCAGCAGGCAACTTATCCTTCCTCACTTTTTTGAAGACTCTGGAAAACAATTTTACACACTCTCTGCCTCTGTGCTGTTCCCTTTGTAACCCTTTCTTTCACTCATACCAGGTGAGAAGCGCCACTGCTTTGATGTCAACTATAATTCCAGCTACCTGTATGAGAAAGAGAGTGAGATAATACAGACCCGAATGATGGACCAAGCCATCAATAATGCCATCAACTATCTCGGTGCTGAAGCCCTGCGTCCCTTAGTCCAGACACCACCTGCTCCCACCTCTGAGGTGGTTCCAGTTATCAGCAGCATGTATCCCATAGCCCTCACCCGGGCTGAGATGCCAAATGGTGCCCCCCAGGACCTGGAAAAGAAGAGCATTCACCTGCCAGAGAAGAGCCTGCCTTCTGAAAGAGGCCTGTCCCCCAACAATAGTGGCCACGACTCCACGGACACTGACAGCAACCACGAAGAACGCCAGAATCATATCTATCAGCAAAGTCACATGGTCCTTCCTCGGGCCCGCAATGGGATGCCACTTCTGAAGGAAGTTCCTCGCTCTTATGATCTCCTCAAGCCCCCACCCATCTGTCCAAGAGACTCCATCAAAGTGATCAGCAAAGAAGGGGAGGTGATGGATGTGTACAGGTGTGACCACTGTCGTGTCCTCTTCCTGGATTATGTGATGTTCACTATTCACATGGGTTGCCATGGCTTCCGTGACCCTTTTGAGTGTAACATGTGTGGATATCGAAGCCATGATCGCTATGAATTCTCGTCTCACATAGCCAGAGGAGAACACAGAGCCATGCTGAAGTGAATATCCGGTCTTAGAGATTGTGCCTGAGTATTCAACATAATTTCCAAAAACTAATCACCCCACCTAACAGATCACTGTCAAACATACTGAGTTCCAAACTCCTTTCCATGTCATTTTTAATATCCAAAGGGTCATGTTCACATGGGTAACCAGAGAAACACTGTCTTCATTCAGAAGTTGTTTGCAGAGCTGGGCTGTTAGCTCACTTAGTAGAGTAGTGTTAGCTCATTTAGAGAGTGGTGCTGATAACACCAAGGTCAAGGGTTTGGATCCCTGTACTGGCCAGCCACCAGAAAAAACCAAACAGAAATTGTTTGCAGATCTATCATGTTATTACATTTGTGAAACCTTTTCCCACCAGGGACTTGAATTTCATGAGATTTAGAAGCCAAAGAAGTATTTGGTTGTTATCTTTTGCAAGAACAGAATGGGCATTCGTTGAAGCTTGTTGCCAGTCAGAACAGTCCCCCAGTTGTGCTTCATGAGACATCCTTTCTGAGATACATCAGCTATCTGTGGTCACCTGCCCAATTCTACAAAGAAAAGTTGACCAGCCAACCTTGCCAGAAAGTCCTATCCTTCTATACTTAACAAAAAAGCTGAAGGTTTAGAATATAATCTCCCCATCCCAAATTATAGTCTAAGGAAAAGAAAAGCCATAAAATAAGTATCTGTTACCAGTTACTGAAGACCCCATTCTCCAAGCATCAGATCCATTTCCTATCACACAAGCAAAAAAAAAAAAAAAAAGATCATCTGATGACACTTCTGCTTCTACCCTTTACCCTCCCCTCTGCAATGAAAAACTGAGCTGCTTTGGGCTAAGCCAGTTGTCCACTGGAGAAGTTCTGTACCAGAAGAACTGATGGTTTTAAACAAAAACCATCATTGAAACTCCAGAAAGTTGTCCACTGTGGATGATGGCATCTGTTTCCTTCGATTAAGATTGGCAGAGCAGTGATCTGAGGGGGAAATGGTTTGGCAGCACCAACAGAGAAAAACAACAGCTGCCTAAAAGTTCTTGGTCTCCTGCAAGGAGTATTGGTGTACAGACATAACGCAAACTTGCCAATGAGTTTTTTTCACAAAATATATTGAACCCCAAAAGTCTGGCTTAGCCTCCCCCTCCCCACAGGACAGGAATCATGTCAGAACTAAGCTTTGGGAGGGCTGAGGAGGGAGACACCTCTGGCCAACAGGTTCTCCTTGATCAGGCAGGTTTTGGCTTTTTTTCCCCTCATTTTAAGTGGAGTTGCTGTATTCCACAAAAATTCCTGAAAGTCTGATCTGAGTTCTGCAGATATATCAATCATCTTTATCACTAATAATAGGGACATGCTGTCGAGGAGAAGTAGGGTGATAATTGTAAAATTAGCACTGGAATAGGGGACCAAAAATCTGTTTGCTCATTCTATATTTGGCACTAATTTGCTGTGTGACTTTGAGCAAATCATTTAACTCTTAAAACCAAGTTTCCTCAATCATAAAATGAAATTGGATTTAGATATTCTCTAAGTTCCCTTCCAGCTTTAAATCTATATGTGATTATGCAGTAATCACAAGTTATTTTTTAAACCTCTTAATGTATGGTTACTAGGCAGAAGAGTATGTACACATATATGAATATATGTTTCACATTTCTTTGGTGTGAAAATGGCAGTGTGTTAAGTTTTTCCTTTAACCACTGAGTTGTGAATGTGAAGATGGGGGGGAGGAACAAAAAACAGGAAGATATTTTGATCTTGCCCCAAAGTGTACACACAAATTGGCACCTGCAGCTGCTACCAAAGCCTTTTTTTTTTTTTTTTCCTTTTTAAGAACTTGTGTTAGGGAAAATAAATTATGCTTCCAGGGACAACTTCATGGATCCTATTTACAAATTAAGAATCAGCTTTGTGAACATTTCTACCAGAGCCAAGAATCCCAAATTCCTGGTGGATTAGCATTTTATTTCTAAAGGGCTTATGAATTCAGCTCAAACTCAACTCATTTATATGCTACTAGTAATTGAAATGTTTGACCTCAGACTGCACAAATGGCTTATCCTTTCTGGTAGCATGGTGTTTGTCTTAGGGAAAAAGGTTTTATGAAATTCCATGGCAACAGTCCCAACATGCTTGAGATTTCAGCTGAAGGGCCAGATGTCTTTTGGTGTGTAGTCTTCAGTATATTATTGTATTTCCGTAATACTAGACTCCAAGCTATGCCAGATTGCTTATACCCATTGTGAAATAGGAGCTTCTTGTTATATTCTTGAAATATCTCACATCCTGTTGACTCTTCAGAGGACAAGAGAAAGAGAATTTGGAAGCAGGGATTAGTAGGAGAGAAAGCTAGGAAAAGTGAGCATTTCCACCAGATAGTGTTCAAGTGTTTGCCGAACAGACCAGCTTTTGCATGTCAGGATGGTGAAACTAAGGCCCATTTCACTAACCTGCGGACTGTTTTTACAGAATATGACCCTCCTTTTTCCTGTAACTAATGATTTTGCTCAATGTATTTCATTCTTCTGAGGTCAGGGGTTTTTTTTGTTTGTTTTTGGGTTTTTTTTTTTTTTGGTTTTGGTTTTGTTTTTTAAAAGATGACTGGTAAGGGGATCTTAACCTTCATTCTTCTGAGGTCAGGGGTTTTTTTTGTTTGTTTTTGGGTTTTTTTTTTTTTTTTTGGTTTTGGTTTTGTTTTTTAAAAGATGACTGGTAAGGGGATCTTAACCCTTGACTTGGTGGTGTCTGCACCACGCTCTCCCAAGTGAGCTAACCGGCCATCCCTATGTGGGATCCGAACCCGTGGCCTTGGTGTTATCAGCACCGCACTCTCCCGAGTGAGCCACGGGCCAGTCCTCTGAGGTCAGTTTTTTGAATGCAATGACCACTCACAAAGGCTGCACTTTCATTGCAGCATTCTGAGCCTAGATTGGGGCCCATCAATTCCAGAGAAAATTTATATGTGGAAACTCTACATTCTTAAGTCTTGAAGTTGAACCAGGTTGTATGTAGTGAATACCACCACACAGGTAAACATTTCCTTCTGTACGAAGTCCTTATACTAAGTAATGCCCCCCTTGCTGGGAGTAGGAGATGAGGGAGGAGAACCTTAGCAAGATGCCTAGAGAGAAGGGCCGGGTCAGGATTGGAATCTGCTGCTGTTGGACCGTGAAGTCCTGTAGCAGCTTCAGGCAGCACATTTACTTTCTCATGCAGGGTCTCTCTGAATACGAGCTGTGTAGGTCTTCTCACTCTTCCATGTCCCACCAAGCCTCCTGTTAGGCAAGCCTCCCGCCACACACCTGAGGAACACAGAAGAGGCCACAATCTGAGGAACAACCATACCCATGAAAAATTCCCTTGCAGCCAAGTTGACAGAGTTGGGGTAAGGGTGGAAAAGAAATAGAACCAGCTGTCCAAATGTTCCCTATCACAATTTGAAGTGTTGCATAGTACTTGCTACTGACAGAGAACAAAATAGAAGTGTCTCTTCCACTACCCTCCACCACCACTACCAGAAAAAGAGAGAAGAAAAAAAAAGATATTGATAAATCCACCAGTCTTCAGATTCCTTAAGTCATTCTCCCAAAAAAACATTTGTTTTGGCACAGATAAGTCAGCTAGTCTGAAGCTTTCTTACCCATTCTGAGCTCTTTCTGACTCAATATCTGACTTTGTCAGGGACAAAATTTCTCGTCTTTTAAATTCATCACTTAACATTTTCTAGGCCCATACTCGCAGTGGCCCGGATATAAAATGACCTCAGATTTCTTTTGCAAAGAGAAAATGTTTAAAAACACAAAATGTTACTCAGTTGAAACACTGTGTTATTAGAAGAGCACACATCAACATAGTGATACCAATGCTACTGGGAAAAACTATTCTTGTTTTCTTCTGCTTCCCCCTCACTCCCTCTGTGCTGAATGTGAGATTCAGAATGTTTTAAGGGAAAAAGAAATATTTCTTATATGTATCCTAGGGCAGGCAGTAAGACCATAATGGAAATGTTTCTTTAAAGTCGTAACTTTAAAGTGTACTCCTACTGATAGGAGGTATGTTGGTCTCTAGTGGAGATTTGAAAACTCCAGGACACTCAAGATCTGGAAAAGATCTCGGACATCTTTGAGGACTCAAAGACTCAGAATTAGAACTTGAGAGCTCAAGAACAGAAAAGAAAGGGGAGAGGAGAAATTTCTGTCCTATAATATAGCATCAGGAACCGAAAGAGATATGTGATATATAGGGATAGCTCTTATATTTTAAAGAATTAGAAGCTATTTTTGTGCTCACACAGAAAGTACAGTTCAGAAAATCTCTATAGACAGAGGTCAGTCAAAGAGAATCATTTGGAATATAAGTGCCTATAAAGAGAATAATTTTGACCTGAAACAAAAGGCTAGACCTATGCCAACCTAGGAAAAGGACTCTGTTCTCTAAGCCTGCAAGACTGAATTGTTCTGAAAATGATCAGTGAACCCCGCATTAGGGACTGCTGACTCTGAGGACTATGAACTTGGAAGAGCCTAGAAGAGAGTTATGGGCCGGCCCATGGCTCACTCGGGAGAGTGCGGTGCTGATAACACCAAGGCCACGGGTTCGGATCCCTATATAGGATGGCCGGTTAGATCACTTGGGAGAGCATGGTGCTGACAACACCAAGTTTAGGGTTAAGATCCCCTTACTGGTCATGGCCGGTTAGCTCACTTGGGAGAGCATGGTGCTGACAACACCAAGTTTAGGGTTAAGATCCCCTTACTGGTCATCTTTTTTATAAAAAATAACAAATAAAAAAATAGAAGAGAGTTATGAACTTTAAACTTGTGTGAGCTTATAAAGTAACACAAGACTGTACCTCTAATTTACCCAAGCTGTATATAGTCTGTACCTCGTCATGCAATCACTATGATAAAAAGGGTTTTGCACTTTGAAGAAGGATGCAAGTTTCCTCTGAATATTACAGTAGTAGATTATCTTATACACTGATATTGATTGCGTTGTTATTTGAAATTGGAAAGT